GTGCATTACCAACTCTTTACAATTGCCTGTAAACTGGCATAATAAACTTATTATATTAATATTATATTATATTAAACAGAAGGAGGTTACGCTGTGCGGATTGTCGTCGATCTCGGCGGATACTTCGGCATTTGCTATCTTTTCCACGGACACTGCAATCAACGAAGAAGTATTTGACTGCATTTTTCACATTTTGGTGATGATGCTTGTGACCTCTGCAATTTCCTTCCCATTTCGGCTTATCGTAGTACCATCCTAAGCGCGACGGCCTTGTCGCCTATAAAAACCATGTATTAATTTACTGTCTGCTCATTTCATCGTTCCACCACATTGACTGGTATCATTTTGTTATGCCAATAAGCTGAGTAATTAAGTTTTCAATATCAAAACGCACATCTACACAACTAGGGTATTTAAATGTACAAACTTAAATTTCCCTTAAATAAGCTGAACTGCACCTATCTGAACCCCAGATCGCTCGGGCATTACAGGTAGCCTTGTCGATTTGGGATACCGGTTGTGAGCACTACCTTATTGGTGTATTGCTGTTCGCGGTTTTTTGCTGGGTAGTTTGCTAGCCGAGTTTGGATAAAACCGGTAAAGAAGCACACGCTCATATTTGTCTTTAAGTTTTGATTGCCGAAGTTGTAAATAGTGGATCATTGAATTTCTTTTGTGTGTTTCTGACGCGTATCGCTGTTGCGCGTTTATTGCATATGCGAATACTTTATCTTCAAAACGTTGTACTATTGTGCATATAAAGCCCGTAAGGACCCATCCGTTGTTTTCGGAGCGAAATTTGCTTGTGAATCAACTTACTTGAATAACAGATCCTAGCTATCATTTTGCTGTCCATTCTGTCACTTAAACTTATGCACAGATTTGTAAAATGACTCAGGATCGCGAGCCATTCAAGATATCTGTGAATTATGCGCGCAAAATTTTCTCCTGCTTGCGTTTACTTATTCCTCTTAATTTTCTTCAGTGTTGATGAAATTAATGTTTATTTTTGTAACTTGTCTACGTTAATTTGTTTGTGTTTCCTTTTCACACATCAAATTCTACACTTTATATATTATTTGCTCCATTTTCCAAAGCGGTTGTCACCTTATACGACAATCTGTGTTCTTGTGAAGCCGTTAAGACTGTTCATACGTACCTGCTCAATTCAACCGAACGCATCATGGCTCTGTTCTCCTTAAACCCTGCGGTCCCAGCTGTGTTCATTCGCTTGAAAATCTTGCTCTTTATATTTAACACTTTGACTCCGACGTGAGCTATATGTGGTACACGCAATATGGCAAACTACGGGCTATTTTTGGGAGTCGCAGTTAAAGAGTTAAGAATAATTTTGAACCTATTTATAACATACGCATTCCCCTTCGGAACTCGCTGTTATACTTTCTTGCGACCACAGGAATTTGTGGAATAGCTTGCATTTTAGGGAGTTGGGTGAAGTAACTTTACCGTATTATGTTGTATTGTCAGGTTGCGCTATCATGATTTTTGTATTCACGAATTCCCTGTCTCTTCGTTTGTACGTTCAAGTAACACTAAAGTTTATGTCAGCAACAGTCATTCTATAGCATCCTGTGGCTCTCATTTATACTGAAAATCCCATTTCTCTCTTCATTTGCTTAGTTGATTTTCATTAGTTATTCCAAATATCCAACTAACAGTGCAATTGCTTTCATTTTTCAGTGTCAGATAGGTCGACGGACGTTTGCTTAGTACCTCTGTTCCCATGTCTTTTGACCTATCACGGAAAGATTCTGCCCGTTCTAATGTGAGATTTAAAGACCAAAACCTTTTAAAGAACTCCTTTCCAAACTTTGAGCAGATTCGCAGAAATGGGAAGCTTTGTGACGTAACCCTAATTGTAAGTTACTTCATTTTCTTTAAAACAACTACGACTTTACAGGCTGATGGTCAGCAGTTTTCGGCACACAAGATTGTTCTCGCTGCAACTATCCCCTACTTCGATGCCATGTTTCTTAGTAACATGAGTGAGGCATCCAAAAGGGAGATATACATCCATGACCTTGATCCCAGGTATGTGTACTTAAAGTAATGTAATCCATGCCATTTTTTCAACTTGCAGCATGTTGGAAGCTTTCATCATTTTTGCGTATACTGGTGAAATTCAAATCACACCAGCAAACGTTCAGGCCGTGTTGATAAGTGCGAGCTTTCTCCAGATTGACAGCATTCGCAATTTCTGCTGCAAATATATCGAAGAAAGGTCGGTTGTTATCTTATTATCTACGTACTGTTACTGATCTCACATTTTTGCTGTTTTATTTCCTCAATCTGCACCAGACTGTTGCCTGTTTCGCTGCGATCGCATGCGGTCTACATAGGCGTACTAAGCTCATATTTAAGTGACTAATGAACAAAACAATGTTTTTAATGAAAGCGGGGCATCCGTGTTCGTTGTTACTCAAAACAGTTAATTTGCCCACATACTAGGCGGCTAAGTGTGGCAAGAACTGGATTTATTGTACGAAGAACGCGAACAGTGTTCGTTCAAAAACACACCTACCATTAGCTTGCGCAATACTTGTAAGTGTCTTTAGATGCAAAATGCATCTTGTGAGTACTCAACCCCTTCG